AGGAGTAGTTATTTTTATTTCCTCTAGAGGGAGGTACAGTCTCTCTTTATGAATCAGTCACTCCAGTAGTGCATTTTGAATTCTAAGATAATGAAAACACAACTGTATTAAGTTCCAGGCAATTATACACTAATGAAAACCTATATATGAAATAATAACCCAATTCTACCAATAGATGATCCTTAACCCCACACACTGCTCCTCCACGTGAATATATATCTTTTGTAAAGGTTGTGAGCTTAAAAGCTTGTAAAGTATTTTCACATCTTGTGTAAAAAAAAAACAGGCATGATTAAAATAGATTTAAAAAAAGAATACACTTGAGTTAAAGAATCTAAATGAACCATGAAAAATCTCAAAAAGATGCTCTGTTTTCAATTTAATCTCCGAAATGAACCCCAAAGCTGATGCTGCCTCTGTTGCTTAATAACTGAAGATAAGGCTGTCAGAACATGATGAACTCCCGGTCTTTTGTTGACATTTCGTTAACAAACCTGCGAAAGCAATAAATGGATTATACTCACAGAGATCTAGCTTATATACAAAATTATTGAATTCTTTAGATCTGGAAATGATACCTACTTTGACATCTCACTGTTCTTTCTGGGAAAGGATTTGACTTTGGTCCATTGTGCACGAGGCTTTGACACCATCCATCCATACTGCTGGCTCTCCGTCAGCGGCCTTATGTACAGCTGGTTAGGTGCTGGGGAGAAAAGACAGACACATTTTTCACAAAGAATACAGCTGTGATTCAGACCCCTAATCTGCATGCTCTCTATGTCTACTCACATCTGGGTGTTTTAATCTTTTTGACCATCTCTCTGTGTCGCTCATAGCTCCCATGGTGTATGTCAGTGCTGAAGGGGAGAGGCTGGTGGGAAACACTGCATGTGTCTTTGCATGTGAGGGGTCTCGGTGGTTCTTGAAGAGATGGAGGTGGTCCATCTGTAAATAGATATGTTATTATAGAATAGAAGATACTAATCCTGCAGCTGCTTTTCAAAAGAAATAAGGATATAGTTGAATGTATGTGTATTGTTTATATACCATATATTGCTTAAATAAAGCATATTATATATTATACAGCATCATTCAAGGGTCCTCAAACAGATGCATTCAAGCTCAAAGTCCTTGTATTTGATTTGGCAACACTAAAAATACTCTATTAAAGTCCTGACATGAGTATGAAATTAAAATCAGGAAAATGTACAAGCAGTGTTAAACATGTATAATTATCAATGGAGAAACTGCAACTACGCACTAAAAAACAGATTAAAATACTTTATAAGAGAAACAGAAAATCTTCACAATTGTGAAGCTACATGAAAATAAACATTACATTTTCATTTTGCACAACAAATATCGTAAACAATGAGAACATTCGTATAAAAGAAGGCTACACAAGTAAAAGTAAATGTAGGCTACTAAACGCTAGTTACATCCCACCACTTATAACGTTAGCTCTACATGTAGCATGTTATTGAAGCCTGAAGACTTATGAAGACTTAACATGTGTTCTTGTTAGCTATCAGCAAGCTAAGGGTCGTTTACCCTGTAAGTGTAGCTTCGGTTAACTTTGTGTTAGTTAGTTAGTTAGAAGAAACAACTTTAAAACCGAGAATGGACTAGCAGCTAAGGTAGAGTGTAGCTCCTCTTACCCCGAAAAAGAGACGCTCCTCTGGGATTCACTATCATATTATCCCCTATGGGGTTTTGATCACCCAGGTGCGTTAAACCGAAGAATGCCATGGTGAGACAAAGTTAACCCTGATCGATAAACCAGCCTGTAACTGATCCACAGTCACAGAGACACCATGAAGGAACACAGCCTGTAAATAAAGGCGTAACCATGGTGATTATACCTGTTTCTAGGGGGACACATAGAACACTCTACTAAACTAGAAATCAACAAATAAAACGGAATCAACACATTTTCTTAACAATATATAGAAATTGTTATAGTCACTTTAAAGTGTTCCCCAACAAAAATGAATGTTAAAAAATACATTGGCACTTTTAAAACGGTTGTGTAGAAAAAAGAAAAAAATACAACAACAACAATGATCAAATAAATGATCCTAAAATTCCTAAATTCCTAAAATAAAATAAAAATATATATAAACGATTTAGTAAATAATAAAATATTAAATATCTGGTATAAATTATCTTCAATAAACTATAATTTAATTGAACAGCTCTTTTTAACTAATTTAGGGCTTTATACTGTGAAAGGCCTTAAAAAAAGAGTGAGTTTTCATAAATCTTGCTTTGCGTTACCTATGTAATTTTTGCCTATTTTAGAATTGTGTTAATCTTCAGGGTACGTTTTTCTCTGTTAGGCAGTCCACACATTACATGACTTGAGTTTGACAAATACCTTATTTTGTGTAAAACCTTTATTCCATTTATTTCTAACAAAAAATGAAGAGAAAATATGATCTGTCAATTCAATATCTGTATGGAAAAAGGGACAGACAGTAACTTTCTAATATGATTCATGTGTTGGGACCGAGCTTACATAAACTCAAACTCTGAAGCAACTCATGTTACAACACTGTCAGGCTGCAAAGGGAAGTACTTGCATTTCCTCATTCTTGTCACCATACCTTTACGTTTCTTTTACAAAAGATATCCTACAGTTTACATTGTGGTTGTTTTCAGAGCAGCTGCAGAACCTGTCATCAGGGAAGTATTTGACAGTATTTGAAGAAAACGTGATTTTGTCTGCTTGCAATGAGTCACAACATCTCAACCAAAGAAGGTTTTGCATCTGATTATGGATTTGTATATGTGGATTTGTAGCTTTTTGTACAATTCCCAAATGCCTTTATGTGCATCCAAGGAGTTGTTGGTCCCAGTTATTTATTGAAGAATCTCTTGAAGTTCAACCTCAAATGTGAAAGGGAATAAATCCTCAGTTTTCTTTCTGTACAGAAATGCCTGTTAAAGTTCACCCCAAAGCTAATAAGAGCCTTCTGCTATCAGATCAAGTGATTACAACGGTCGAATAAGCACAGAGTTGTCTCTTTGTGTCAATATCTCTGTGCTGAAACAAAAGCAAACTCTGTCTATCTAAATCTATTATAGCCTAAAGACAAAGAGGGAATTTTTGTGACTCACACAAACTGCTATTTCCATTTTATGCAACTTTATACTTTTATTCCAGTACATCTCAAAAGAAAAGATTGTACTTCAATTACATTTGTTGGACAGCTTCAGTTACTTTCTTAGATTTTGCAAATAATACTTACTAATACTTTAACTTGAGTAAGGTTTTTAAAGCAGCACTTTAACTTGTAGTGGATTACTTACATTGTTGTTGTGTTTTCAATGCAGTAAATTATTTCATCCAACTCTGGATATAAATCGGACTACAAAAATGTATTAAATGTTATTTATGTTTATTTGTTCCTCTGAGATATTCATTTGTTCCTCTTCATTATTATGGGAGCATAGATGAGAGCAGGGGGAGTCATAATCAAGTCAGCAGTTGTATAAATGGCGTGTCAGAATGGTAAATGATAATGCATCATGACCATGCAAAAATTGCACATTGTGTGAGTGATTAAGGAAATGTTGAAACTGATTTCACCAAGCTTATGCAAACAAGACCACTCAGTCCACCGAGCTTTTAACAGCCTTACATTGAGACACTTCAACTCAAGGTTCCTCTTATCATTTAAAATACACTTTTAAAAGCTTACTTGGCTAAGCTTAAACTTATTTCTTGCACACACCTTTTTGTTTTCATTTAATGAGTTAGTTGAATGCCTTATAATTTTAAGCAAAGTTACTTTCACTGCTAAAAAAAACGACATTATGAGTCAATCTACAGTATGAAGACATTTCCTCTTTTCAGTGTTTTCCTTCTTCCTCATACAGGTCAGGTGGAGTAAAAAAGCAACAACCTTCAATCCATTCTGAAACCTTTTATAGCTGTTTCATCAAGCTTACTAATTTCTTCACTTTGTAAACCATATTTTCTGTCCGATTTTTTTTTAACAATCATTTTCATAGAAAATCATTGTTTTCAACTATTTAAACATATAGCAGGTTACAGTGGTTCATTGTCTGTCCCTTGCATGTTTGCCTTTGGGAGGGTGGCACTGTTGCAGAGAATGCATCCTCTTAGATATTCTGTTGTTCTTAGAATACATTCATTGCCTGGTTTTATTGTGCAGTATTTGTACTTATTTTGATTTGCCTTTTGTAATGTATTCTCTAGTTTCTTTACTCACCCACTACTGCTGTGAAATGTCATTATTAAGATTATTATGATTATTATTACCATTATTATTATTAATGTATTATTATCATTGTTGATATTATTATTATCATTTTTTTGCAACAATTGTTATTATTGTTATTGGTATTACTGTAAATGAACACATAACTGAAATATTGAATTAAAAAAAAAAAAGTCTTACTTTGTGCCCTCATATTCACCCACAAGATTGCACTGCATTACTATGGAGCTAATTTCCTGCCATAACTCCACAAACAAACTAAACAAGTTTTGCAAATGCCTTATGATTCACTAACAAACACAGTGTGGTTAGCAAATACAAAACACCATCTACAAACTAATGCATTTAGTTTTGCAAATAAAAAACGTATCTATCAAACAAACACATTACATTTTTCTAATAAATCATGTTTCAGAGACAAATTCAGCATAGGTTTTACAAGTACAAAACTTTTTTTTACAAGTACAAAACTTTTTCTTCTAAAGTCACGGAACATTACTGCCAAAAGTGACTTTTGGCAGTAATGTTCCGCCGTGGTTGTGCTCAGGATTTTTTTCACAAATGTACACATTTGTAAAACTTGTTTAATTAGTTTGTGGAGTTATGGCAGGAAATTAGCTCCATACATTTCCTGATTTTCCTCCTGTCAGAATATCATAATTGGGCAGTTTGTGCGTGAGGGGGCGTGTTATGTTAAGCCACGCCCACAGGCACAGCCGACGACGTCACTGGATCCGACAGTGATGGGAACTCGAGCGAGCGCTGGTGAGTTTCACCCAAACCAATAAAAATCTTCAGTTTCCTCTTTGTCACTTCAACAGGGAAGTAGGCAGGACAAATGCGCTGCACAAAACACAGCCTCGACTGCTGTTCGCCCTGACTGTGTGAGTGTATAAAGCCCTGCCTGTCGGAGCGTTTGGTTCAGGGTCTTAACGGCCAGGTTATCATCTCGTTAACGGACTTGTGAGTAGCAGCGGTTTACATTCTGTTGAGCTAACTTAGCCCTTGGTTACCGTTGCATGTGCTGTAAGCTAGGTGCTGTTTGCTAGCTTCAGTTTGGATCACTTGTGAAGGCATGTTGGCAGCATGTAAAGCTAAGGGCTGATGACAGGGCGGTTTGTACAGTATTAGTTAGCCCAGCAGCTTGTAAACAGCAATATAAAGCTATTATGTTAAAAAGCGACATATTCTGAGCTGTAGTGTTTAGCTGCTAACTGCCTGTAATGTCAGCCCTTGTTATCTTGATGTGTTAGCCAAAAGTATCCAGCTTTATCACGGTGTGTTGCTTTAACGTTTAGCCTTTTAAATACGGGATTTTGTGGAAGATGTACTAATATCATTATAGTTTGTTGTGTGTCAGGCCAAGTAGAGCCAGTGACCATCTGACAGAAATACACATGCTGTCCTTCTGAGTGTTGTTGTGTAATGTAAGATGATATGCATGCCATGTGTTATTATATACTTTCATGACTGTTGTTATGTTTGTTAATATAGATTCTATGAAACGTGTTGCAGATTCGTATTGAAGCTTATTTCTGCCAGTAGAAAAAAAAGTGATTTTGTATCGTAAAATAATGATAAACTCTCTCTCCGTAATTAACTATCTGTTTTAAAATAATGAACTAGTATCCTTACATAATGATTTAGTAACACAAAACGCATGTCTTATAATAATGACATAGCATATCAAAAATAACGAGAAGCTTATTAAGAGATGCACTGTCATTATTTAGATATTCTCATAATGACTTGCACTTTTTTTTCATTGGCTGAGATGGGATTCTATATGTTTGTAACCATCACTGCAGCCTGCAGGTGTAGATAAGGGTGAGAGTAAAGAGGTCAGTGATGAAATTATTGAACAAAAAGTAGTATTTTACTGATTTACAACTTAAAATCAGTCAAAAGGAATTCAAAGTTGGTTATCTCATGGTTTTTGAATGGTAGATAATTAAGGAAGTAAAGGGCCAGTGCTGCTTTTTTTTTTTTCAGTTAGAGTCCATTTGATTAAAATCCAATATATTTGACCTCACAGTTGACCATTTTATTTATTTGTTTATTCCACAGATGGCAGTTTAAAACAAAACATGTACACTTTACAAAACATGTACACTTATACTAGTTGTTTTTTATAGCGCATGGTGGAAAGGAGCAGGGAGAAGAAAATCTTATTTTACCTGCCTCTCCTTTTTTTTCAAAACATATATCATTTATTTTCTGCTGTTTTAGGCGCTTATTGGTTTTCTATTGGAGGTCGGTTTGGGGATCGGACAACTTCTATTGTTTGCCTATCATTTTATTTTAGTTTTCTCTATTTAATTAGTATTTCTTTTTTACTCTTTTAAGGCCAATTTTCTTTGTTGAATGTGTGTTTAACACCCTCTTTTTTAAATTTGATTAACAACACAAGCTGCAGGAAATCAAGACAGCATGACGAGCCAAGCAACAAGCCAGACAAGTCAACAAAACCGTGAGTAATGCTAATAACTTGAGAGATGCATGGGAATTGTTTGTATACTAGGTATTAAATAGGTTAATACAGCAGATAGCAAGAGAATGAAGCTGTGACAGTAGGGATGGCAATGAACACATATTGTTGTATTGATTTAACTGCCAATTAATTTCTTGAAAATAGCTTGTTTGATCTATAAAATGTGGGAAAAATATTAAAAGTATCAGTTTTCCCGAGCCAGGATTATGTATTCATTTATATTCCTCCCAACCCCGAATACATCAAACCGTCGGAGTTTAAGGAAATGTATTGTTCTCAATTGTTCCAGCGTCATTTTGTTTGCAACACAGTAGCACCTCCACCTAATGTTTGGTCATTGTTGTGGCTTTATACATACTCTATTTTATACATGGGTACAGTCGTTGGTTCATTTTTATTTACTGATTTTATCTTTGTTGACTTTTTAGAGAAAATGACCAAGATCCCCCTCTCTCGCTCCGAGGTGTTCGGGGAGCTGAGGAAGGAGCTGCATGAAGATGAAGAGTTCCACCAGTCTGACGCTCACATCTTCATCATCATGGGAGCATCGGTGAGAGCAGGGGAGGGGGGGGTTATAATCAAATCAGTGGTTTTATAAATAGCATGCCAGAATGGGATATGAAATGAATAGTCTGGATCACACAAACGTAAGCTACTGTGTGTTCATACATTTTTTTTTTCAAATTGTTGGCCACACATTGCACATCGTGTGTGTGATTTAAGGAAATGTTGAAACTGATTTCACCAAGCTTATGCAAACAAGACCACTCAGTCCACCGAGCTTTTAACAGCCTTACATTGAGACACTTCAACTCATGTTCCTCTTATCATTTAAAATACACTTTTAAAATAGCATAAACCTATTTCTTGCACAAACCTTTTTGTTTTCATTTAATGAGTTAATTGAATATCTTCTCATACAAAGCAAAGTTACTTTTACTGCTAAAAAAACCCCTCAATTAAAAAAAAAAAAAAAGTAATGCATTCTGAAACCTTTTATACCTGTTTCCTCATGCTTCCTAATTTCTTCACTGTGTAAACCATATGTTCTGTTGGAATTCTTTCAACAATCTTTTACATATACATTTTCTTGTTACAGAATCATTGTTTTTTCAGTTTTGTTTAACATATAGTCACGTTACAGCGGTTCATTGTCTGTCCCTTGCATTGTTAGCCTTTGGGAAGGTGGCGCTGTTGCAGATTTTTGCATTGTCACTGACTGTCAGCGTTTTTCTTTCAATGTGAAACACAGGCAGGTCAGGGGTTAGGCACTCTCACTCTGGTTGTACTTGTTTAACTGATATGTTTGTTGCTGAGTATTTTTGTTACTGTGGCTTTACTGCAGGCAACCTTTTCATGTTTGCCACCAAGTGATAACATACAGTCACACCAGATTTGTAAATATATACTTACTGATAATTCAATAATTGAGGACATGAAAGTTTTGTTTAAACAGGTTTGTTCTTTCCTTGTCTTGAAGCAAATGATACGTGTTAGTTCACAGAATTATTAGCCTGAGTGTAGCGGCCAAAATCATATAGAACTAAAACAGATAATTAACTTAAAATAATACAGCCGCTGAGGCACTAGTTAGCGGATCTTACGCAGGGCAATGATCATCCAAGTCCAGACAAGAACCTCCATTTGTGCATTTTATTCCATTAACAAAGTACAATGAACAGGTTTCCTATATCTTTCTTCCTTAAGCCTTTCCTATGGCTTTCCTTTGTGTGGCTTGAAACACCCTGGTAAAAAACCGTTTGCCTATAGTGCTCTGGCTCCCACCACCCACCTGTCTCCAATATATACAATTACACCAGGTGCTCTAATCAGTGCCCAAACGTGCCTTCAAAATAAGAGCATAGAAACTACTTTAACTTATGACGCTAACTAAGAATACATTTACAATAATCACTATAAACAGCAAGAAAATAAATGTTAAACTATTAAATAATATAAAGAGATATATATATATATATATATATATAGCTCCAACACTGAGTGTGACAATAAAGACATGTTTCACGTTATGTCCTGTCCTCTACAGTATTCTTAAACAAAGAAGCAGTGTTGCAAGATGAGTTGGTTTTCCAGCTGAGTCAGATTGTTATCTAGGCCAACTGTATACTGTTATGCGAATAACTTTGACTAATTAAGTTGAATGTCCAGTCTTGTCATTGTATTGTTGTTCGCTTGAAAAGCAGGATATTCATTTTTTTCTTTTAATATTTTATATTTGCATAAGAACATCCAGATTGATAAAAAAGAAGAGAGCTGTCTAGAGAGCCGAAGAGCGAACAGGCTTGCACATTAGACCTTCCTTTAACTTAAGGAGACAAATAAGCAATAACTAATCAGGCTAAACTTTTTAGAAAAATACAACTAAAATATAAATGACACAATAAGCACAGAACAAAAGGCTGATGGAGAAGAATTAAACAAATTAAAGAAATACATAAAACAATTCTGGGTAAAAAAGAAGAAGAAAAAACAGTAGAATATAAACATGTCAAATCAAGTGTAATAAACACGTCTCCACACGTCTGCTTGCTCTCTGTGGGATTACTAAAGTTGCGCAATTCCTAAATAAGCCAAAGCAGCCTACTTACCTGTCGCCAGATGGTTTAAGCTGTTGTGCTGCAGCATCTTGAGACTTTTGTGTCATGGAAAAATAATTACCGCTCTGGCAAAGTGCACTGCTTAAATAAGCTGCATGCTGACTCCAAAGCACAGCATTACCACTTAATGACTGTGTTCGTGACCTACAAATCCTATTTCTGATTGTTTGTTTGCACCTGCAGGGGGATCTGGCTAAGAAGAAAATCTACCCAACTCTATGGTGAGTGAACATCCATTGACCCCAGGGAAATACTTAGTAGAACTGCAACGTCTAAGGAAAGATAATATGAGGTGTAGCTTCTGAAGTTGTGAGCATAATGTTCTCTGCTCTCTCCCAGGTGGCTGTTCAGAGACGGCCTCCTCCCTGAGCAGACATATTTCGTGGGCTTTGCTCGCTCGGACTTGACCGTTGATGCCATTCGAGCTTCTTGCCTGCAGTACCTGAAGGTAAACTAAACCTTCGAGATGCAACTCTTTGAAGTCTATTCATAGTTTACTGCAGACCATAACTAAACACAAATACTACCTAACTAAAAACCTTCTTTAAGGAAAGCAGATGTACTGTGTTCAGGGTTGCAGTCGAATAGTCCAAAAATCAGCTCCTATCGTCTATCCCTATCGTCTATTCCTTGACCTCTGTGTGAAACGTCACGGGGTTAAGGGATAGTGGATAGGAGAATTCAAAAGGACTTAGGAGAAGAGACTGCAGGTACTTTAGAGAATCCGACTGCACTTTCACTATCCGACGTGTTTATGATGCGCCAGCGGACGTCATAAATGTGCGTCTGCTGCTGTGGGGAAACTATGGAAACTACAGTTTTCTATACAGCGGACTACAACATGGATGTATAATAAAAACAAGGGACTACTGTAAACTCATCTAGAGACTCTGCACCGTGCTCTGATGCTGTTGTGTTATGCTTTATGAACGTGGACAACAGAGAAACATATTCTTCATGACCAAAGTTGGAATTGAAATAAAAAAGGAAAGTGAAACTTATGCTCGTCACCCTCTTCCACATTAATACAAATGATCCCAATACGTATGATTGTATGAAAAGATCTTAAAATCAATACAAATGTATTTATTATAAACGTTAGTCCTTAACATCTATCACTGTGTATATCACCATTCAAACATCTTTTTAAAGTTGAACAAACCACACACAGCTCAGTAAAGACTGTGAAATGTTGACTTTATTTGATCATTTCAGTAAAAACTAACGTTCATATTTCTCTTTTTGATTATAATACTGATGAACGTTCAAAACAAAGCACTTTGGCAACTTACCACATACGTTTTAAAATGCTTAATAAGCACCGTAACTTTCATGATATCATTCCTCGGTCATAATCGGTTGTTTCCGTGAACGGCCGACTGTTGTGTGACGGCAAATGCTGCGGCTGCAAGGCATTGTGGGGCAGCATTTTCTCCTCTCCTTTCGTAAAGGGAGGTCCAGTGGTTCCTAAGCTAAAGGAGGTTATAAACAGGGGTGCACATAACTGGTACGCAGGTACGCATGCGCGGCAACAATCTGAAATGCGTAACGTCACTTGTGTCACAACGTGCCTTTGCGTACCTGATAGGTCATCAAAACAAAAACACATATTTCGTCTATACGTGTTTCTTGTCAACACTCAGTGGAGTAAATTATTAGACATGTCCATAAAAAACAAAGACATTAAGCAGCCACTTTGCCGTTTCGCTCCCTGCAAAAATCTTCGGACATTCTATGACTGATTGAACTGGGTGCTGGCTGTGCCGCGCAGGACATAACCGACGGACCTGTGAAGCTTCACAGGAGAAAGAGGCTTAGATCACTGGATGACAGAGTTGGTCGCCGTGTGCACAGACGGGGCTGCTGTTAACGTCGGTGTGTACAACAGAATTGTACCAAAACTACATCAACTGGCTGCAGTGGGAGACTCCCCTGTGCACATTATGTGCCCCGCACACACACTGGAGAACTGCGCAAAATCAGCTGATCACAACTTTCACGCTCTGTGGTCAAGCTGCTGCAGTTTTATTTACAACAAAGTGGAGTAAAACACACAGCTGCCTGCAAACTTACTCAGGCTGTTAATGGAAGAGTTTGAAATCAGACAGGGTTAGGTGGATGAAGTGTTACTCAAGTAAAATTAGAAAAGTATTATCATCAACACCTAGTTAAAGTAGCGACAGTAAAAGTAGTCATTTTGCAGATTGGTCCATTTCATAATAATGTATATGATATGTTTTATAATTATTGATCATTAAAGTGTTTAAAAATTAGTTTGAATGACTTTGTATACTGCAGGGTAGCTTGTGGATTTACTCCAGGTGGAACTAAAGTCTGATTTAAGACTTGATTATATTTCACATCATTCATCCAGATCTGTGAAGTAACTAAAATGTATTAACTACATGTAGTGGAGGAAAAGTACATGATTTACCTCTGAACTGTAGTGGAACTGAAGTACAAAGTAGCATAAATTGTACCTAAGTACAGTACTTGAATAAATGTACTTTGTTACTTCCCTCCTCTGAAATCAGATATGACTACAAGTCATGTGATAATTTCTTAGTATTTGATCCTTCAACTTGGCCTCAGGAAATGCAAGGACTTCACAGTTTTGGCAACAAGTTTTGGAGAAAGCAAATCGGAGGCTTAAAAAGAGACAGGGAGGTGCATCTTCATCATCTAGCATGCAAGAAGTGTAAATAGAGGACAGTGAAGGAGACACTGAGGAGGACAGTGAGGAAGACTGCACTTATTAAAACCACGCTTCATGTGGGGTGAGTACCAAATGCTGTCTCCTGGTACTCATCTGAGTAACTCACTAAAAAAGTTATGTGCACCCCTGGTTATAAAGGAAGTTTGAAACCTCCTTTCCTATCATCTAGACTAGAGAATTCAAACGGCACTTATCATGGCTGCCACTGAGGTACTTCCGGGTCATTTCACTCCGTTGGGAAGGTTCCTAAGCTAAATGGACTATTCGACCGCAACCCCGGTCTTCTATCCCTCCCTCCCTCCACTCTGCTCCTCCTTCCTCATTTGGCTTAATCGTTAAAGCGATAATGAACCTGTAGAGAATTATGAACTTAAGCTGCAGCTCCGTTCGGCTTTACAGAGATTTATAGGGAGTTTCAGCTCATTGTTTAGCTGCCCGGCTCAACACTTCCCAGTAGTGAAATATATAAACAGTCCATTTATACTACAAGTATATTCAGAAACAGAATAAAACGTTTTCATTGTAAGTTCTTGATGCCTCCTTTTAGTTTTTTTACACAACTACAATTTTAAACATTCTTCCAAAAGGAATACTTCACCAACAAATGATAATTTGTATATCATCCTGCTCACATAGCATTTTTTATTTAAAACCATTCCCCATAAACTGTTTTCAAGAATTCTGTGTTACACGGGATATGTTATAGATATACAAGTGGCCATTTTGTGAATGAAGTATTTCTTATAATCCATTCATGTGTAAATGTTCCCCCCCTCCTCCCAGGTGACAGATAAAGACGCAGAGCGGTTGTCAGCCTTCTTCAGCAGGAACACATACATCAGTGGGAAATATGCCGATGAGGATTCCTTCTCCAAACTCGACACACACATCCAGTCTCTGCCCGGAGGAACCGAGGCCAACCGGCTCTTCTACCTGGCGCTGCCCCCCACCGTCTACCACGACGTCAGCAAGAACATCAGGACCTGCTGTATGAGCAAAAAGTCAGTTCACTTCTCCTGCCAGCTGCTGCTCTGTCACACTGTTAACTCGTTTCACAGATTGATGCACAGTCTGCCAAACCCTCGCCCTTTGTCATGTCCGTTAAAGTTGTTTTACTGCATTTAAGATTTCCCTCCAACAAAATGTGATTATAGATTTGATATCGCATAAGCAGCACTAGTACCATAGTTCAGGGGTGTCTGAAGATAACTTTAAGTGCTGGGTGTTACATAGGTGCAGCCATCCAATTAGTTGTTCCTATTATTTAGTCCATCCTCCAGAATAATCATACAGTTGAATCCACACTACTTTAAAATAGTTTAAACAAACTGAACACTATAAAGATCTAAGTGTATCTAATATATCTTGGCAACTGAGTGTGTGTGTGAAGCCTGAGAGAATTAAACGTTTCCTTCATTAGTAGGTCTGAGGTGATTTGATTCTAAATTGTGTGTGATAATGGCATCATAGGTGAATGGATAGAATGTTTATATGCTCTTACTCTCCTTGTGTGTGTGTAGGGGCTGGACCAGGGTGATCGTGGAGAAGCCGTTTGGACACGACCTGCAGAGCTCTGAGGAGCTCTCCGCTCACCTCTCCTCCCTCTTCACTGAAGATCAAATCTACCGTATCGATCACTACCTGGGCAAGGAGATGGTGCAGAACCTCATGGTGCTCAGGTAGGAGAACATCTTTAGACCGAGGAGCTTTTCACGTGCATCAATTTGTTTAATGGGACATATTCAAATGCAGTAAACTGGAATAAGGTTGGCTGGTGTACACTATATTTTAACTCATTTTACCACTTTACCTTGCAGTCAGAGAACTCTTTCTAACAGGGACTAACTGTTTGTGTCAATGGAGTCTGGTTGCTTTAAAGAGAGCAGAGATACACCTCCAGTTATTAATGATGTACCCTTAATGGTTCAGACAGATCTAGTTATTGGGATTTTGTTTTTTGGGAGGTGGTAGTACATAAATCTTATATAAAAAAAATATATCACTGATATATCCCTATTGCCCTATTTGACTTGTGAAGCCCTCTGAGACAAATAGGATTTGTGATTTTGGGCTATATAAATAAACTTGAATTGAGTTACACCCTAATGATTTTAAAACTGCAAATATACATTACTACCAGCGTATCTCTCTTCTTAGAGTTGATGACATTTCTCCCTGAGCTTTGTGTTTCTTTGTGTGGACAAAGAGTATGTTCTTTTTAGATTTTAAGGTAACTTAAATTATGCAACACCTCAGTTTCAGCTGGCTTGTAGTTAAGAAAAGCCTTTCTGACTATCAAAGAGAACATACATTGGCCCCTGACCAAGAACACCGTAGAAGAAAATTGTTTATCCATGCTGTCACAAACAGTCTCTTCACGCTGTGTGTCTGTGTCTGTCTGACTGTCTGACTGACGATAATTTGATGCTCATTGCAGGTTTGGAAACCGAATCTTCGGGCCGATCTGGAACAGGGACAGCATAGCCTGTGTTGTTCTCAGCTTTAAAGAACCGTTTGGCACTCAGGGACGAGGAGGCTACTTTGATGATTTTGGCATCATCCGGTGAGTAGAGTGGTAAATATTATAAACCCCTAAAGTTTGTCTTTGCTTTATAATGTTAAAGTGTAACGTTTTGTACAAAGGTCGGGTGTAAAGATATATACCTCCTTGGGCAGCAAGCAGTGAAAGCAGCTCCTATATTTAAAGAAATGAACACATGCATGCAGTTTTAGTACTTTCTTTGCAAACACACCCTAAAAGGGGAAAAAATGCTGTATTGGAGAAGACATGAAACTGGGTGTTTCTCAATCTCGAGTAAAGCTGCTGCAGAGCCACTATTTCAAGCATACTACGTCATCGAGTGCCGCCGAAGTACTGTTCCAATGTCCAGCATACTTGGAATTCTACCGAGCCCGGCGTACTTCGTTTGGAGACATTTCGAGGCTGCACATGTGTAGACTCAGAATAGAATGGGAGGGATGAAACCCTCTTTAATGGTCACACATGCAGCACACACAGCACACGGTGACATTTGGCCTCTGCATTTAACCCATCCTAGTACAAGGAGTCTAGTACTAGGAGTAGTGGGCAGCTATTGTACAGCACCCGGGGAGCAATGGGAGTGGGGGGGGAAGGGGGTTGTCCGGTGCCTTGCTCAAGGGCAGGGCAGGAACCATTTTAAAATTGTTCCTAAATGCTAAATGAGGGCGTTTAAAGTAGGCCTCATGCCTGTTGCATCAGTAAATGCTCACTGCGAGGCCGATGACCCTTTAGATGAGTGATCACTCCTCTCATTCTCCTTCCTATCTTTTGTGTGACCACCTGTTTCCTGTGTGCCTATCAGCGACGTCATGCAGAACCATTTGCTCCAGATGCTCTGCCTGGTTGCCATGGAGAAACCAGCCTCCACCAGCTCTGATGACGTCAGGGATGAAAAGGTAAGGAGTTGTCTCCCAGGGACCCGGCACTCAGCAACCCCTCCTCAAACTCTACAAACATGGAGCGCTGTCTGGTGGTTTATGTTGCTAACGGAAGCTATCTGTTTGTAGGTGAAGGTGCTGAAGTGCATCGCTCCAGTGACCCTGTCAGACGTGGTGCTGGGTCAGTATGTGGGGGATCCGGAGGGGGAGGGAGACTCCAAACTGGGTTACCTCGATGATCCAACTGTTCCCAAAGGATCCACTCAGGCCACCTTCACCACCGCTGTGCTCTATGTGCACAACGAGCGCTGGGATGGTAAACACGCCGCGCGCTTTACGAAACAAATCCTGCCGATATCACATCCTCCCTTTTCATAATGCATTCAAATGTTTCACTCCTCAGGTGTTCCTTTCATCCTGCGCTGCGGAAAAGCTCTGAATGAGAGGAAAGCCGAGGTGCGGCTGCAGTTCACAGATGTCCCGGGGGATATTTTTGGAAATCAGTGCCGCAGGAATGAGCTCGTGGTGCGTGTGCAGCCCAACGAGGCCGTCTACGCCAAGATGATGAGCAAGAAGCCCGGCGTGTACTTTAGCCCTGAGGAAACTGAGCTGGACCTCACCTACAAGAGCCGATACAAGGCAGGTTCAAGCTTATTCATCTGTGCACAGAATCATTGTAAACACAGGAACCAAAAAGTATTCTTACTTGAGCCAGACATGACAAAGTTAAAGATAATAGAGCAATCGCATCTTTAAATTCTGAAGCGTAACTGTCAGATTTGTCTTGTTTTCAGGATGTGAAGCTTCCCGACGCCTATGAACGTCTCATCCTGGACGTCTTCTGTGGGAGTCAGATGCACTTTGTACGCAGGTCTGTCCCCGTTTTTCACTGCTGATGTCTCCTGTTACATTATGTAAACCTAACTTATTAGTAAACCTACCAGTTCTTCACACTAGATGGCGACAAAGTGCATAATTTCTTTGCCTCAGCATGACGGAAACATTGTTAAACTTTTATATATAGCTGTTCCTTTGGCAATGTCGATCAGTCAACTGGTCCATTTGTATTCAAAGTCCAGCAATATGAATGTTGGTATCGGATTTGTTTTCTATGACTTTTGAGCATCCTGTTACTAAGCTCGTCCAGCGCCAATATCTGATATATATATATATATATATATATATATATATATATATATATATATATATATATATATATATATATATATATATATATATATATATATATATATATATCTGATCTTGGATAAAAAATGCACACTTCTGCCATCCACAGTATTGTAATTCCTTCTGAACATGAGCTACCTGTCGTTCCCACATTACCCCTGATCTTGCTTCCCTCCATTGGCCTCCGTTACAATTCAGATAAACTGATGAGCTATAAAGGTCTGCAAAACATTGACCCCAGTTATGGCGCGTTTCCACTACAGCGCCGAGCACGGTTTAAGAGGGTTGTGACGTCAGCGGCCCGTCTTTGGTTGCGTTTCCACTTGGCCTAGTACCGGCCGGCGGGTCCTAATTCACAGTTTTTCTGGCCTCATAAAATCGCGGGTCTAGGGCCAGAGACAACGAGGCTGAGTCGGGCTGAGTATGCTAAACTAGAGAGAGCATCGCTGGCAAGGGGGCTACAACTACAACAAGATGGACATATTTGACCGTGATTTAATTGTAATACACGTTTCAAAATGATGCCGAAGTAACAACATACTGATACCGGTTAGTAAAAACCATGAAGTAATGCTTTGTCAAGTCTGCAGACAGACGGCAGGCGAAAAACCTTTTTAAAATGCGTGTTTTCTAAATGGAGATTGGCTAAGCTAACGTTGTATATGCTCCGACCGTCCACACTCACAACAACGGCCTATACAGACATAAATAAAGCAGCGACTGTATTCACCATGACACAGGCAGTCTGTGGTTTGTACTTGTTTAACTTTTGTCTAGTTTCTGAACATATATGAGGAGCTGTGAGCTCTGAGTGCTAACAGCTAACGGCTGTGTTGTTTTTCTGGAGTTCTCATTGAAGATGACGTCACGGCTCCGCCTACACTGCGTTACTATAGATACTACCCCAGTTCCTAAACTGTAATGGAAATGCGCCATAAAGTGAGCCAGTCCTAACGAGGCCTAGCCATACCGAGCGAGGCCGTGTAGTGGAAACGCGCCATTAGATTCCTGATCTCCTCGTACCTCATTTGATGTGCTGTTTACACGAGAACGCAAACGGTTGTATCCGCTACTTTTCTCTTTCGTATAGCCCGTTCGTTCACACGAGGCCGTAACGGAAACGCGGAAACGGACCCCGCAAACGATAAAGGGTCCCAAGGTGGATAGATCTGCCAACGGAACGCTCTGGGGGGCCAAACGGCTCCGTGTGTACGCCCTATACGATCATTTCCTGATAACGATGAAGCCATAGCCCCACCTCTGCTGCTCACTGCTGTAGCATGGTCAGTAGCTACTGCTAGTGCTACTGACCATGCTACAGATGTTAGTGCAAAATCTACAGCTCCTCACAACCATCAGCAACAAGTGGACATGGAGAATTACATGAACTACATGTTGCTAAATCCACCGCGGGGCATAAACAGAAGGGCAACCATGGCAACCATGCTCAGGGGTCTTCTTCGGTGCTTTTGGTGTATTTTGTGGTGAAAGTACAGCGCCACTTACAGGCCCGGCATATGTACTACAGCGTCTCCAGCGCTCCCGAGCGGTCTCGTGTGAACGGAATACTTTTTTGATATCGTATGCGGTTTGTTTGCGTTTCGTAATGGGGTCTAGTTCTCAACCACTGCACAAATCTTGGCCTTTTATCAATTCCCTGCTCGTAGAACATAAGGTTAATACGCCTCAGCTGTTTTTGCCCAATCCCTCTTCAATCATCTCTCCTAATCTCTCAGATTTGATTCATCTTTGGACTGTTTTAAAACATCTGTTAAAAAGCCATTCTTATAATAGATCTCCTTCCCGGTCTTGTGTTCTGGTTGGTTTTATCGTTACTATTTTGAATTAGGGTTAGGATGAACTGAAAATGTGCTCTATGAATAAAGGTTGAATTGTCTGTCTCTCCAGTGATGAACTAAGGGAAGCATGGAGGATCTTCACACCTCTTCTTCATAAGATAGACAAAGAGAAGCCCAAACCTATTCCTTACAAATACGGAAGGTAGGAAAAGTGATTTACTATTCCCTCGGGTAGAAGGAGTTAAATACAGAGTGTTGATTGTTTCTCTTTTTTTCAGCCGGGGCCCGACGGAAGCAGACGACCTTTCAAAGAAAGTTGGATTTCGCTATGAAGGCACCTACAAATGGGTGAACCCTCACAGACTGTGAGCTGAGAGGAGGGTGGGTGTAGAGGTAGGGTAGTAGGGGCGGTGCAGCAGGGGTAGGTGAGTTGGTTTGTACTGGAGTGTCTTTTGAGGAAAGAGGCGTGTCCTATGTGCATCCATCACAGTAGCAGAAAGGAGCTTTTATTTCTCAGGTATGGCCATTGTTCCCTGGAGTGAGTTCATCAGACATCAAAAGGAGATATATGAATGTATGCTGTAATCATGAGCTTATACCACACTTGGTGTAAGATTTGTTTATTTTTGTCATATTTTATTTACATGTTTTATTTTAGAGGTGGGATCAAGTCAGTCGGAGAGAGCAAATTAGATCGTATCATTTGGTGAAGAATATAACGGTCTGATGAACTAGCTCCCTGTCTCTATTAATTAGGTCTTATTTGTCAGGATGGTAAATGGAATAGCTGAGCAGAACAACACACTCAGCTGAGTCATGCTCTCTCAGATTGAAGCACTGTACCAAAGAGGTAACTGAACAACGCAGAGACGAGGAACAACCAATGATTGTTCACCAGCTGTCGCTCTAATCATCGTGATTGTAATACCATTTTGCTTTGACTGCAATTCATAATCACTCTTTCTGGAATTTCTTTTCACCACTTGCATACTCTCTTTTCGCCTCCTCTTTAGGATACATAGACTCTGGTTTACAAAAGGCAATGTAGGCAGTTTCTGTTCAAAGCACTCATTTTGGAATAGTCTTAAGTGTCCTTACGGACAAACGATACAAGCTCTCTGTCTGAGCTTCATTCCCTTTTGTTTACATTTTGTTCAGGTTTATTTAAGTTTCTGATGTTCATTCCATATTTCTGAAGGTTCAGACAGCAGCGGTGTCCACAGGTCAACAGTGAATGTCTTTGTAATGACGTCCTGAATACAGCTGCACACACATGTAATGCTAGCTACATTTTCACTACTTGTAATAAACTTGCTTCTCTGATCACTTGTTTGTTTTTTATCGCTTCATGTTAGGAAATCTCATCATTTGTTATGATTGGTGTATCGGCAGTTAAAACAACAAAGAAATGTGTTTATGTATGCTGAAAAAAAGGCATGTTTTAGTATGCTGATAAAAGACAGAATAGTATTATTCGAAATGAAATCTCATAAAAAAGGCAATATGTTGAAAAGTCATGTAGTAGGATGTTGAAAAAACGCAAAATATAGTATTAGTTGAGAAAAATAATTAAAAAAAATGTAGGGAAAATTCATAGTATGTCGAGTCAATATGTTGAAATAAGACAAAGCATAGTATTCGAAAAGATCATATTGAAATATCTAAAAGTCATAGTGTGTTGAAAAAAAATCTTTTACAAAAAAGGCACAGTAGTACAGCGGATAAGCTCTCATATTATAACAATTGTGCATTTTATGAGAAAAGCATGACATTTCTAACATAGTTAGAGCATACCATAAGGTTTATTTTCAGATGTGGAGGGAAGTCACATTTGACCCATGAGGACCGTGAGAGGTCAAATCCAAGATGGCCACCAGTCTCTCGGGTCAAATGTTCAAACGCGCTTAATTTTGGAACCAAACATTGTAGAAAAACATTTAAGGTGTCATATCCAACTAAATTAGGGATGCCCAATCATTTGATGATACTTTTGAGATCGCCAGAATTCAAGAAAATGAATTTAGTTGAAGATAAAGGTAGAAATTGACCAAAAATAAGGTGTGTGTGTGTGTGTGTGTGTGGATCCAACTAAATTAGGGATGCCCAATCATTTGGTGATACTTTTGAGATCGCCAGAATTCAAGAAAATGAATTTAGTTGAAGATAAAGGTAGAAATTGACCAAAAATAAGGTGTGTGTGTGTGTGTGTGTGTGTGGATCCAACTAAATTAGGGATGCCCAATCATTTGGTGATACTTTTGAGATCGCCAGAATTCAAGAAAATGAATTTAGTTGAAGATAAAGGTAGAAATTGACCAAAAATAAGCTGTCAATCAGTTGAAATTTGGTGTGTGTGTGTGTGTGTAAATTAGGGATGCACAATCATTTGATGATACTTTTGAGATCGCCAGACTTCAAGAAAATGCATTTAGGTGAAGATAAAGGTAGAAATTGACCAAAAATTAGCTGTCAATCAGTTGAAATTTGCAAAATGTGTGTGTGTGGTATATTCCAGTGGATTTATGGTCACCCAGCGCTAGCATTACTACAGAGACTGGAGGAATATGGCTTTACTTGGCACAGTCTGCATGCTGATGAAAACATTTGTTTTTGTCTTCAAATACATACTAACATGATTGTGACGAGCATCATATTTGTTCCCCGCCCAACTCTCTAAGTCTAAGTGCTTGAACTCCGTGACAGGAGGATGAAGTATGTATAAATGGATGGAACTATCAACAAAACAGCGTTTTATTCCCCAATGTCATATTTAATAGAAAAATAATAATAATGTAAACCAAAGAGGGAGATGGAAAACAGTTCCATGTAGAGCACAAACAGCTCTCTTAACCCTCGCTGTTAACAAAGGGCTGCACTCAACTATAAGGTTCACCGCTGTCCCTTTCCACTTATAGAGGCTTGGGGTTCGATTCCCTGCCTGTCCACCTATAAAGCCAAGGTAGCGCAGCTTTTTTTCTGTTCTTTAGTGGCTCACATGGACATTTAGAGGTCATGCAAAGAAAGGGTTATGTATGTTGTGTGTGTGACAGAGAGAACATTGGCAAAGGGGATTTGTTTGTCCTAGCATGGCTGTACAATTACAAATACAAAGGTTTACCCATTTAGACTCCATGGCATGGAGAAAAAAACTCATTTTAAATGACTCTAAGGATATAACAAGTTTTAGAAAATTGAAAGATTGATGGATTTTTGCCCACATGCGGTAAACATCTTAATTGAATTTTCTATGTGCAACATGAGGACAATAACCACAAGTGTACTCACAGTACCTTTTTTCTCTGGCACTGAAGTTGCAAGGTTTCAGCATGTTGTCCCTCTCTAAACCTTTCTGTTCCCCATTCTTCTTTCTCCAATAAGTGGTGCATCATTATTTTTCTATTAAATATGACATTGGGGAATAAAACACTGTTGTTTTGTTGATAGTTCCATCCATTTATACATACTTCATCCTCCTGTCACGGAGTTCAAGCACTTAGAGAGTTGGGCGGGGAGCAAATATTATGCTCGTCACAATCATGTAAGTATGTATTTGAAGACAAAAACAAATGTTTGCTTCAGCATGCAGACTGTGCCAAGTAAAGCCATATTCCTCCAGTCTCTGTATTAATGCTAGCGCTGGGTGACCACACACACACACACACCAAATTTCAACTGATTGACAGCTTATTTTTGGTCAATTTCTACCTTTATCTTCACCTAAATGCATTTTCTTGAATTCTGGCGATCTCAAAAGTATCAACAAATGATTGGGCATCCCTAATTTAGTTGGATATGACACCTTAAATGTTTTTCTACAATGTTTGGTTCCAAAATTAAGCGTGTTTGAATTTTGACCCGAGAGACTGGCGGCCATCTTGAATTTGACCTCTCAGGGTCCTCACAGGTCAAATCTGACTTCCCGCCACATCTGAAAATAAACCTTATGGTATGCTCTAACTATGTTAGAAATGTCATGCTTTTCTCATAAAATGCACAATTGTTGTGCTTATCCGCTGTACTATATGTTTCATCTTCACGTCAAATGCATATTTTCTACTTTTTAATTTCTATTTTGATATGTTTCAAATTTTTGAAATGTTTATTTCTACACTTTTAATTTCTAATGATGTGCAATGCCTTGTTTTTTCTGCTGCTGCAACGCAAACATTTCCCAATTTGGGATCAATAAAGTACATCTTATCTAATAGGAACCAAAAATACAGTTACGTTGAAGTTGCACTCAATTGCATTTTGATAAAGTGCCATTTTGAATACAACTTTTTTTTACAGGATTCCCTTCAACACATTAACTTCAATGAAAACATTTCTCTACTAAAATATTTTTTTATGGTGATTAATTGTCTCTTTGTTGTAATTTTCTGTCTCTTTGCAGCTGTTTTCCATCTAATTGTAGGACTCTTTAAAGTAAAGACACTACATACCGATATACACCTGAACATCAGCAGGAGAGGACTCTTTAAAGTAGAGACACTACATACTGATATACAGTACACCCTGAACATCAGCAGGAGAGAGCTCTTTAAAGTAAAGACACTACATACTGATATACACCTGAACATCAGCAGGAGAGGACTCTTTAAAGTAAAGACACTACATACTGATATACACCTGAACATCAGCAGGAGAGGACTCTTTAAAGTAGAGACACTACATACTGATACACTGTACACCTGAACATCAGCAGGAGAGGACTCTTTAAAGTAGAGACACTACATACTGATATACTGTACACCTGAACATCAGCAGGAGAGGACTCTTTAAAGTAAAGACACTACATACTGATATACACCTGAACATCAGCAGGAGAGGACTCTTTAAAGTAGAGACACTACATACTGATATACTGTACACCTGGACATTAGCAGAAATGTAAAAAAAAATCTACTTTTGCTGGTGCTGTTGCATTTAAAATCAAATAGTTGACTAAAACAAACTTGAAAGAAATCAAATACATAGTGTTGTTTTTTCATTTGTTTATATTTATTATGATAATTGTTGAATGCAAACTTTGTAAACAAGGTAATAAAGTAAGTACTGAAGTAGCTTTAAGTCAGTGTATTGATCAGGGCAGAGCCAGGTGAGCTAAAGTCACTCAATACAAAGGTAACTTGACAAAAACAGGAGGAACAAACGAGAAAGAATTCTAGTGTTATTTTGAATTTGAATGTCTTTGTATTGATTGTTATTATTAGTTGAATTCTCAGACTAAATCTCTGGTGACTTGAAATTAAAAGCAAGAAGCTAAACTTAGACAGGAGAAACAAACGTGAAATAAATCAAACGTGTCAGTATTGTTATCATTATGATTATTATTTTTTTATTGATTGACAAGACTTTAACTTAACAAGAAAACAATGGACTAAACATAAATATAGAAATGTACTATTAAGTAAATATGAAAAATATAAGAAACATATAAAAATTGACTATTAACTAAACATGATAAATATAACATAAATATAAAAATGAACTATTAAGTAAATATGAAAAATATAACTTAAATATGAAAATGAACACTATAAACCAAACATGACGATATAACATAAACCTGATAACTTGTAATGACTAAATGTTCCTCTTATTTAGGGGTGCTAGAAGCAAAGGAATAGTTTATTTATTTTAATATTAAGGTTGTTTTTTTGCCCCTAGTGGCTAAAACTGCACATCACTGTGAGTCTCTTCTGGAACCTTTGTTGATGTCTAACCAGATCTAATAACTGTTAAGTGTTTAAATATATATCCTGACTGGCTGTGAGTATATGTTGTTGCTCACTCACTTTGAGCTTTAGACTGTACTTGAAATGTTTTAATGTCTTACTAATTTTTGATGTTGTGAGTTTGTTTTTTAAAGTTTTTAAAGCCGATGTCAGGGCTGCCTTTGAGTCTTATGTTTTCCTTTTTAGTCATCGTTGATGTTTGGGCGGATACAAGAAAAGGAATTGATGAATCTTCTCCACCGTGGTGTTGTCCTCCTCTGCGTTGTTGGGATCGGCTCATTGGTTTGCTCAGGTGGATCCACCCTCACTTCCTGTTCCACCTCCAACTCCACCTTTACCTCCACAAGCTCCTCCTTCACCACGCAGGGTGCCTTTGGTGTTTTTTTCAGCTGTTTCTTCAGCAAGGCCGCTATCTCTGCATCCTTTTCCTCAACACAACGTTCCTTCTTTTGTTCCAGTTCCTGGTTTCTATCATGCAAAGCAACTATCTCTGCATCCTTTTCCTCAACACAACGTTCCTTCTGTTGTTCCAGTTTGTGGTTTCTCTCATGCAAAGCAACTATCTCTGCATCCTTCTCCTCCACACAA